TGTTACTGGGAGACAGCGATAATCAATTTAAAAGCAAAACATACTCCAAACAATCATGTAGCTGTCTGTGGTGTTCCAGCTAATGGCCAGAAATGATGAACAAGTTTAGTATCAAGTGATGTCATGATTAGATCATTGATTGGCAGGATCAAAAGGTGGAGGTCACTAGATTTGGACAAGGTCACTGACTAAATGTACATGGTCAAGGTCACTTAATAGTTTCAGTTATAATTAGTTGTATGTGACCATGCATGGTAATCAATAACATTTGAATTGAAATTTATTAAGAACAAATAAAAAAAAAGTTTGTTAAGGTTATAGCTTTGTTATCTGTGTATATTTGATCTGATCATGTTGTTCTCTCTCTCTATATACCATATATATGTTAGGTGAAGGCCATTGATCAATTCATGTTATACATACATGTTAAGGTGTAGGTACACTTGCCTTGGCACTGTGAATGCTATTGAATGTACAAGTCCCTGACAGCTAACTTAGAAATCAATTAGCTACATCAAACATTGATCATGGCTTATATTTATTCCATGTATTTGGGGCCATTTTAGGTGTACTTTCTCACACACTTCTAAACTATACACATATGCCCCATTCAAAGAATGTATACTGAACAAAAAAAGAAACGCACAATTAAATTATGCAATCAATAGCCTATGATATTTTGGGAAATTTGTACAAAATTTTATATCAATATGAAGGGACAAGTCTACTCTTTACAGTAAATACTGTAGAAGAAAAGTTTGTGTGATGTCACTCGTGTCATCAGTAGTTACTCAAAGTGGGATACCCGCTAAAACAAAATGACACTTCAGTGCCTGGTGTGGGCACCTTTTGCACGAACCCCTGCACGGATTCTCCTATGCATTGAATTCATGAGAACATTTATTCGCCTTAAAGGAATGTTGTTCCATTCTTGTGTTAATGCTGCGATCAACTGGGCGCGGTTAGTTTTTTTTTTTTTATGTTTCCTTATACGCCTGTCCAGTTCATCCCACAGATGCTCAATGAGAGACATGTCGGGGCTATATGGGGGCCATTCCAGAGGCTGAACATTGTTTGCCATGAGAAAATCACGACAGACTCTGGCAACATGCAGTCGAGCAAGTCAAGCATTGTCTTGCTTGAAAATTAGGTTATGACGTCTGAGAAGTGGAAGGACATGTGGTTGGAGGATCTGGTCTCTGTATCGAACGGCATTGAGGTTTTGATCCAGGACCACTAAGGGGGATTTTACTCCATGTGAGATGCCTCCCTAAACCATTACAGAAGCCCCACCGAATCTATCGCGTTCAACCACGCATGCGTCGGCGAAACGCTCACCGCATCAGCGATATACCCTTTTTCTTCCGTCTGAGTGATACAGACAGAATCTAGACTCGTCGGTGAACATCTCACGCCTCCATCGACGCATCCCAAACCTATTCGGGCCATGTCTGCGCATCCAGTCAAGACGCACTTGCCGCCTATGTGGTGTCAGAGGTGGCCTGACATAAGGTCGGCGCGCAATGATTCTCTCGGCACTCAAGCGGTTCCTGGCAGTTTGAGGACTAATGGGTCTGCCATGAGTACCTATAAGGTATGCGATGCAGTCTCTACAGCAGTCTTGAATCTGTTGCGCAAGTGCGACAATCAAATCGCCCTGTCTTGTCGTGTGGTCTTTACACGTGGACGACTGCTCCTGGGACGATCGGAAACTAAACCAGTAGCACGGAAACGTGTACAGAGACGGTTAATTGTACACGGGCCAACACCAAACTGCCGTGCGACAGCAGTTTGGCTATGACCATCCATCAACATCGCAATTGCTCTTCCCCTCTGAATTTGCGTTAAGCGTGGCATCTCAGTCAATGGCGAAATCAAAATGACAATGTGGAAAATTAATGTGGCTGAACTTAGAGTATCAGTTGAGATTATTTGTTTGAAAAACTCTGGCTTGGCTTGATCATGCCACGTGATTTGGACTAAAGAAGCTCACAAAGTCACACAATGACATCGTCACGCTTGGCTGATTTTAGGGTAGATTGTTGAGAAGGGAGATCGTTCTTGATGTAATACCTGACCAAATGTTTCATTATTTCCTTACAGCTAAGGTGTACTGCAAGGGGGGGGGGGGGGGGGGGGGGGGGGGGGGGGGGGGGGGGAGGGAACTTTGTGCGTTTCTTTTTTTGTTCAGTATAGATATTTCGTAAATATGATTTAATTTTGCAATTTCATTATGTATATGAAGTTGAGACATGAACCATTGTAAACATCTTTATAAACATCTGAAAAACAGATTCCAAATTTTTGCTGTAATGGTACATGCAGTTCCGGGAAGGGGTGTGTGGAGTGGGAGTATGTTCGTAAGATTGCCTAGAACTATGCGTAAACATGTACAAGGCTGAAGACTATTAATTGGTTAGAGGCTTCATCCTCAACATACTGTTACTGAAATGTCTGTATACACACACATACCAATATAACCTGTACCTGCAGCCATTTACATACACTCAGCATGATCACCAGAATATGCATAGAAACTTGTAAGATATACAACTGGGGAATATCTTCCCTGCCATTTACATGTATTGATAAACTAGACTTTCCTATCTAGATCGACTTTTATCCCGACTTTTATCACGGCATGTAGCTAATTACCACTCAGCTCCCTGGTACATACTATCGCATACTTAATTGATTTTAAGTTGATTCAATTCAATCTAAATCTCACTATACCCTTCGTAAAAAATGTAGTTAATTTAATATCAAAATAACTTAAATATGATTTTTCAATGTCAGTACCTCCAGCTAGGTCTATATTAAAAGGATTCATTTATAAAGTTTGTATATTAGGTTTACAGTGAACAAGGGCAAGGAAAAGTTGATGGAGGAAAATGAGTAAGCACTTGATAGCAATTACCTTTAACATATGGCATGTACTGATTTAGATAAAAATCTTGATTTAGAGACTGCCTCCAGATATAGAACTTTGATTCCTATGTACCATTACCAATGGGTAACTGTAGCCTGTATGATTCAGCCCCTGTATTTTATACTCGTGTGTCTTAATGGTACATCACATGATTGAGGTAAATTTAAAACTTTTCTAAAATAACAATTGTATACAACTGTGAGGTGCTTTAATGTGATGCTATACTGATCATGAGTTGTATACAACTGTGAGGTGCTTTAATGTGATGCTATACTGATCATGAGTTGTATACAACTGTGAGGTGCTTTAATGTGATGCTATACTGATCATGAGTTGTATACAACTGTGAGGTGTTTTAATGTAAAGGAAAAACGGAGGGTTGGAAGTTCAGATGTAATATAAACAAAAACTGTCACTTGTTCTTTATCAATATAACAACAATGGTATGTACACCTGTGGATAGAAAAAAAATGAGTTAATTAAAATTAAAACTGATCAGACAGATGAAAATGCTACCTGCAAAAAATCAAAGTGAGGAATATATATTTTGATTTGCAAAAAGTAAAACTCAACATGCATTCATATTAGCCTAATTTATTTGGGAGTGTTAATCCTGGTTTTAAGTTTGGGGATTAGTTATAAAATACGTACTGGGATATGTAGATGTCATGATGACAGGTAGATTCCAGGTGTGACAGCTGGTGAACCTTTTTGTTTTTCATTCTTGGTAGTTACATATTTGTACATTTGAGATTATCTATGTTAACTTCAGTAGGTATATATGACATTCTGTTAGTTTTTTGGCAATTGTCATGACAGGCCAGTATAAATGTCGATAAGAATGGTTTTAAATGCAATGACAGGTGTTTACAAAGGGAACTGATGAGCAATCCACTAATCGTAGTGTCTTCAGAGTAAGTAAAGGTATTAATAGTAATTGATTGACTTAATGTTATGAGATTGATTACATCCATTGAAATGTAGACTGGCCACCAGCCCCCAAGTTTTTATGAAGACATCCAAGTGATCAAAATTGTTAGAGTTCGTTTTTTCTTAATTATTTAATATTCTAGAGATGGTGGCCAGTCTAATTGAAATTGTATGCAATCCATTTTATAGTTGACATAAATGTTTACTTTGTCAATACTGGAGTGTGCTGCTCGGAGACTTATAGGGTAGTTGGCACCTCAGGGGAGACAGAGAGACTAACAAATGTACAGGGTTTTTGGTTTGATTACATTCTGTTACTTATCTTATAATTGATCAGCGGTAAGCTGAATAGGATTACTCGGTACAACAAGACTGGGCTATTTAAATATTTAAACCTGATCATTTAAGGAGATTTAAATGTATTCACCGAGCACAAGGTCAGTGACATGTGCGAATTCCTCTAAAGCAAGCCATTGTGTTATGTATACTGTAAATGTCAGTGTGTTATGATATCACTTTCTTTCAAGTTGACCCAGAAGTAAAGCTATAGGTGTAAGGTATGGTAACATTACTAGTACAATGGTTTTCTATGATACCATCAATGATACAATGTTCTTCCATGACACTGGTGTCTGTACAATGGTTTATCATGATACAGTAATGATACTATCAATTCCATTATACTGGCATTGGTACTATGGTTTTCCTTAATAACAGCAATTGGGAAAATGGTTCACCAGGAGTTATAGAGGCTCCCACTAAATATCTTGATACTCCCATTTAAAAATGTATGTAACTGGCAAATAGAGAAAGCAGGGATTTACATGAAGCAAAATCCTTCTTCAAATACCCCCATTTTCCATTAAAGGACCCCTAAAATATGAAAACTGTGTCCCCATGACCCCCTGAAATGACAACTTAAAAATATCAAGTCTCAAAAATTTAATGATATACCAGTATATGACTTGAAGAAATGAATACTGAAAATTATAATTTATGACAACCCCAAATATTTATTGATGACCCTCAATTTTCAATGAAGGGAAATCTTGAAGCTATTTGGGTAATACATTTGTCTTATGATGTTTATTGAGTTACCGGTATGAACATTTTACTAATTTAAATTCATTCTGTTTTCCAGATATTGCAATGGACTGGTCAGATCATTCACTGTGGTGGCCGGAGAGAAACACATGGTTGACAAGGTCAAGGTCAACTCTAAACCAGTACAATGTACAGGCTGATGCCAAACTACACTTTACACCCATGCACAAAAATGTGCGAGTGCAGCTTCCTGACCTGCAGATCATCGATCAAAGAATGGACTTCTCAAAGAATGTTTTCTCAGCTGTCATACTGCTCTGTAAAGAATTAGGTAAGATACCAATCAAACTACTACCGATCAAACTGCTGTAAGCTATTTGCTCTGTGTAATTACACAGTGACAGTCCTGCAAATTTGAAGGTAAAGGAAAAAAAAACATTTGTTGCAAAGATGCTTTGAAAAAAACATAGGGCTACTTAAAAAAATGAAGAATATATTATATTGTTTCATGAATCAGTAGTTGTGTGCAGTTCTGATGGTTTGACTTCAAACCATGTCTAGCTATGTTCAGTTTCATTTGATTATATATTCATTAAAAGGGATTTATTGTCAGTAAAATCAGCAATTTGGTACAGATTAAATCATCATTGATCATTGGTTGGTTGTAGGCATCTCTCGTTTGTTTGATAGCTTCCTCAATTACTTACTACACTTGTTAAAGGGTCACAGGATATGAGGATTCAGGTTATTTCTAAATTTGCTTGATATTTTCTCACTAGTTCCACTGACATTTCCAACCATAGGGAGCACTGCATGAACCTCACTGCAGGAGATAAAACTCTCTCTGGTTGCCTCATCACTTTTATCATTTAGATGCATCATCCTATTTTTCCATTTTGATGGCGCTGGAACAGTGTGACTGTCCACTTTTTGTGTTTGTATGGATCAGACAGAACTTTGTGTTTTTCCTATCATCCTTGCTGTAATGTGTTTGGTTCCCGGCCTCTCACGAGTCCTCCACACAAAAATGTCTGGCAGAGCTGTGAAAGTTATTAGATAATGCTTTGGACAATTCTGTGCTTTAGTCAGTTGTGGACAGCGATTTTGTAGTCAGTAAAAAAAAATCAATTCAGAAAGATTTTCTGTTAGAAATATTTCCTTCCTGTGGTGGCTTTGAGAGAACATCACAGATGTGTATGCTCTTAGGGACAATGCAATGAATAATTACGAAAATGGAAAATCCGTGTCACAAACGCTGCCAACGGAAGTATTAACTTCCATATATACCAAACACTAGTGTACATGTACTTACATACAAATCCTAACCAGTGGTGGCCTGAAAGCCTGGAGATATAGACGAAGCATTATACAAGGGTATAATAATGTTCACACCAGGGTATTCTTTCTTATTTATGAAGTTGCACATAAAAGATCTGATCACAGTGACCTAAATATGGTATTAATGAATCAAAGTATGTTCATTTGTATTTAAGTTAGTTACCTCACCTGGATAATAAAAGGAAATTAGACCCTGGTAATACTAGGTGAGCTATATATTAGCCTTGGCCTATTGTTTGGTACAGTCCATCACTATTTAGGTGATCTCTTATCACAAAGAGGTTTTGGAACACCAGCTTGCTATTTTTACCCAATTTCATTGATAGATAGGAGAGATTCTGATAGGTATTCAAAATGGAAGCCTTGACTTAGAATTAATGCGGGTATGTTTTTGCTTTTAACTTACATAAAATATGATATGTGAGATTGAGGAACTATGAAAGGTCAGCATCCTACATAGTACATATATAGCAGCCTACAAAATACACAATAGAAATATGTAGCTGGATCATTCATCCGGGTTTATAAGTACATGATGGATAACATTTGCTGCTTTGATATTGATGAATCATGTACTTTTGATTATATTTAAGCTTTGCAGGAATGAAATTGGCTTAGGAAGGTTGTTTTTCATCAGTTAGTGTTGTGTATTGGTCTTGGACATGGTGGCTGTACGTAGCTAAGGCTAGTGACAGGACATAATCAATGACTTGACTTCAGTAACAATGGCAAATCATTGGTAATTATACCTTAGACACCTGTGGCAATCACTGGGAACTAATACCAGGTATCGGTGAATCGTAATTTCAAACTTTGATTCTGTTATCAAAATAGCCTGTCATATTATTTCTACTTGATGGGTGGAAATCCAACCAGTATTCACAAGGGAAATTGATTTCGCGGGAAGTGACATTATCGATTACGTTAATATCACAGTTGGATTATATCAGACACAATACAATAAAGTATGAAATCAGGCCGAAGCTCGCCAACTGAAAAGTATTAATGCACAACAATTGTTCAGGCTGTTTTGTGTTTGTCCTGTTTTGTAATTTGAAGATCAAACAATAGATTTTATCATTACAAAATATTTCGAAGCATTTTCTGAAATGATTGCCACCTATATCATATAAGACTGATTGCTATGAAGAGATTTGAAACCATCTAGAAATCTTTTACAGTATGTATATATGTATAAACAAAGGTTTTTATGCCCCAAGCCATTTTATGTGGTTAGGGGGGCATATAGTGATATCCATGCATGTGCTGTTTATTTTTGAGAGGAAGTAGCAATATTCTGGATCTTCATTCTGGGATGTTCAATAGATGATATCGCGACCAGTGGAACTCTTCAAATAGGAGGTGATTTAACTGTACTTGCTGGGGCAACGGATATATAAACAACATGGCAGCGTCAAAACATTCAGATACAAATTTCCACAAACTTCCATGTAATGCATTGGGTAATATTTTAAAGTCAAAAGGTATCATCTACTCTAAATAAGAAAAAGGGGAGCTATAGTACACCTATGATAGCAAGCAGACATGTTAAATTGGTCAGATATTGAAAAAGAGGACGAAGCTAAAGCGTCACAGCTGTGACGGACCGTCAGCGGCGTACAGAGTATCGTGTGTTACCTTTATGTAAATGAAACGTCAGAAGACTTGTTTTGGACGAACAATTTGATTGGAATGTCATCACTAAATGCATTTTATTTGACCTCTATTCTTGTGAGTTAATTTTGTTGGTTCAATACAGTGAAGGTGGGGCATATTGTTTACACATGGCAGATTGGTTTGCCCCCGTATCCTCGCATTCTCTCGCGAGACTTGTGCATTTTCAGGCAAGAACTCTTCAAGGGGAGTAACTCGTGGATGGTCATGATAACATCTATTGAAACTGGATGCTTTCAGATTACATTATTGTAAATTATGACTGTTTGATTAGGACTAGGGCACTCTAGGGCTGACAATTTTGGTGAACGAGGGACATTTGGTTGTTGTTTGTTGTGAACTCAGGCGGGGCCGAGGGTGATTTACTTTGAACTTCTGAGGACCAGGGGTGGGGACATTCAAGGAGAACTAGAACTTCTGAGGGCCAGGGGTGGGGACATTCATGGAGAACTAGAACTTCTGAGGGCCAGGGGTGGGGACATTCATGGAGAACTAGAACTTCTGAGGGCCAGGGGTGGGGACATTCATGGAGAACTAGAACTTCTGAGGGCCAGGGGTGGGGACATTCATGGAGAACTAGAACTTCTGAGGGCCAGGAGTGGGGACATTCATGGAGAACTAGAACTTCTGAGGGCCAGGGGTGGGGACATTCATGGAGAACTAGAACTTCTGAGGACCAGGGGTGGGGACATTCATGGAGAACTAGGACACTCTGTGGGGTGACTTTCATTATGAACTAAATACTCTTTGTTTGCTTTGCACTCTGGGGTTCATCTTGGGAACTTAACTTGCACATTGGCAGTCAGAAACAGATCGTAGGAAATGGGATGCTACCTTGTGATTCTCTTTCCTCTTGGAACTCTGTGATGTTGATCTTCTTTAAAAACTTATTAAGACCCATGATGTATATATAACTGTGGTACATGTACAACAGCTGGTGTAGCTCTGGGCAACAGGCCCTGTCTGTCCAGTGTGAGGGAGGGTGGTGATGGATAGGTAACAGGCCCAAACACAACATACACCAACCACTTCCTGCACATAAAGTACATACCTACACTGGTCTTCAATATACACACAGACCTCTATATTTAGGGAGCAGGTCCAAGAAGTACACTGTATTACCTAGGCATATAATCAGATATAAACCAATCCCAGGCCCCTGATCCTATTTCAAATACATATCCTGGCATAGAAACTGCATTAGAAATCTGCCCATAAGCCAACTTCATAATTGCTAGGTCATTGCATGTACATAAAAGGATATAAAATGTACTACATTTTATGATAAGTACATTTTATGATAAGACTTCTGGACCTATGAGTGATTTTCAAAATATGGTATTGTTGTGAAAATACAGTGTTTTAAAATAAAACCTATTTGATGTTAAGTACAGTCCCAAAGAAAGTTTATTTACACAGATTCTATGATAGTATAGTTCCCAAGTGTTCCCGCAGGTTCCTTTTTATAACACATCTAGAGGGTGTCGTGTCTTACAGACACATTATATAATATCCAGTAATTTATAAACATCCTGGACTGGAGAAGATCCTGCTTAAAGGCATACTAATTCATTAAACTTGTGTTGTACAGTGTAAATAGATAAACCAACTCACTGGTGGTATGGTATTTCAAATATTTGCAAAGTAAATTTGCCAGGAGATGAAACAGAATTGATTTTCCTTGGTGAGTTTACACAAAACTTTAGGCATTGTGCAGCAGTGTGTGTAACCAACCTGATGGATTTACAGATAAAAGACAGGCCGTATCTTCTTGAAATGGTTGATTTCTGGCATGGTGTGCAATTTTGTGTGCATCCTTCACAGTCGGCTATAGCTGAAGGTTGTTCCCTATCATCTTCAGTGTTTATACAAATGGTAAATCAATACAGTTATAAAGGAACTCCTGGTCTTAGCAGACACAAATTGTCAGATAAGGTCTCATAAACTTACCAAATGGACCTCATGCCCAACGTCTATACCAAACAAGCTGATGTGTTTATTGAAAACAGTTTTAATGAAATTAGCTGGCTTTTCACTGATGGTGTTTTCTCTGGCAGACTTTGCAGCACATTCTGTTAGTGCCAAGTTACATGACTTCAGGCCAAATAAACTGTATCTGTACTCTCCATGCTGCTTCATCAATACCCCAAACATGGCCAACCACTGAACTTCCAACCAAAACATTAAATTAGGCACAACAAAAACAGTTATATTTTTCAAAGAAAATAGAAGTAGTAAAGTATACAAAAATTTTGATATTTTAAAAAAAACATTTTTACCAACGTTATACAGAAAGAGCAATTCAGCCTGTGCTTGTTTAATGTCGGCCAAAGAAGACCCAAAAAGCACTTACAAGTATAATGAGAAAAGACTAAGAGGGTTTAAAAAATGAGGGTGTAAGTGCCGAGCATTTTCACATCGTTGAATATATCAGTGACTGGTATAATGATGTTTTCTTTGAAGGTATACGACATCCCGAGGAACTATCCATTATGAGGTACCTGGACAAAGATGACCTAAAGAAGAGTATAAAAGAAAATTTAAACCAAAAGAAAAAGAAAGACTCGAAGGATGAATTGGTAATGGGTGTGAATGGAAACGGTACTGTGCATCACTCATCGTCCGGCAGTCTGGATAGGCTGAGTCCTTTCAGCAGGAGTCCAGCAGGACCCTCTCCTAACGTAAGTCCACCAACACAGGGCAGAGAAGTCTCCCTCTATTCCAAGGCAAGTCTACCATCACAGGACAGAATTGTCTCTCCCTCACCTAATTTAAGTCCTTCTAAAGTCAGAGCCGATTTTCAGTTACCTAATGTAGGTCCATTAAAAAAGAGTAGAGTTGTCTTCCCCTTAATGCAAGGAAAAAAAGATAGAATAGTCTGCACCCCACATTATGCAAGTCTGCCTACACAAGACAGAAAAGTCTCCTCATAACCTAATGTATGTTCTCCCTTTCAAAAACACAAGCCCATAATCACAGATCAGAGTAGTCTCCCTTGGTTCTGGATGGTTTTCAGAGATAAGTTTTGTAGTAGATTAAGCTAAAATGAACAGAAAATAAATAATGTTCATACTAATCCTGGTATTTTGTTAAGAACAAGTACTGTAGTACCAAATAAGCAACTTGATTCACCCCAGAATACTTGTATGAAAAATATTTACTGATATTAAAGAAAATCACAACTTATATGCATATACGTTGAGCCTGAGCATTTTTGTTTTCAGAATACATTAAGTAGGACACCAGGTTTGACCCCAGGACCTACAATGACCCCTGGAGTCAGCTCCTATAGTGCAAATTCTGTGTCGCCCTATAATACGTTCAACAGCACCTTCAACGCCAACGGGACAATGTCACCAGGGTCCATGTACAGTCTGTCTTTTGAAAGCTGTATGGAGAATGCTCTCGCCAACAGTCCGCCAGTGTCCATCAGAGACGCTCAACCCTACCTCTACAAGCCAAAGAATTATGTAGAGAAAGCTAGAATTAATTACTCGTAAGTAAAAGTTTCACTCTAGCACCTTCGTAAAGGAAATTGTTAAAGTTGGCAACTTCAAGGGTTATAGGAGTCTATTGGCAGTCTTGGTAGACACCTTTGATAGCTAGTTTTCTGGAATCTTCCTGTGCTTTTTGGGATACCCCTTCCCTGTGATTAGATACTGTACTACACTAATTCCAGTTAACAAGTTTGGGAAGCCAAGGTGTGTAATATTGCAATAACATACATCGTCAAAATTCTTTTGATGTACTTGCCGATAAATGATGTAGGAAATGATAGAGTTCATTACTCTTGGTACTCGTAGCTATTCTCCTGTGCTCCTGAAGAGACCAATGTTTCGTGTACAAAATGCTTTAGCTAATTGATTACTGTATGATGTCCTGCGGTGTACCCTCTTTTGCAATGGAAAACAGTTATTTAGAAAATAAGCGCTTAGGTGATTGTGATTTGGTCTCGTTCTCCCTATGATTTCCTCTGGTATAGATGAAACTCAAAAAATGTGGAAAGGACCACAGTAAATTATGAGTAGCTAGCCTGGAATGAACTTCGGTCTTTATAGTACAAGCAAACTTGGCACCACATCAGTAGGTCAAATCTGTGTAGTTAAATCACATAATGTACCGCAGAATTTGTCGGTGTACTTTCCCTTTATATATACTTATAACACACTCATAATGTCATGAGTAATTGGCCTATTTCTGTTAATGAACAATTTTCGTTTTCACCGTAATATTTTTTTTCTTCATTATTTTGTGTATTCAGTAATTAGTTACTTATGTAAACACATCTGATATAATTAACAATGTCTCTGGTAATTTAGTCAGTAGAATGTCAGAAATACTTGGCATTAACTTAACTTGTGTTATAGACCAATTGAATAGTTAATTGCCTTCAATGCTGTTATTGTCTTGTATAATTAATGAAATTAATTAATTTAAATTTGAAATTCTTTTAATGATTATCAATATGAAAAAATCCTAAATAAAACCTGGTAATGCTATAGCTGTATGTATTATTTACAGCATGTATGCATATATTAATTTTTAATTTTGTTGAAATTTCATTAATACAGCATAAGTATCAGTATTTTGTGTGGATAGAAATAGCTTAGATCATTGTGGTGACTTGAAGTGATATAAAGGAAGTTTGTGTTTAGCAAGATTTGTCGTGAACAGTGTGCAGGGCGTTGGTCTCGATTGTCCCCTAACAGGATACAGGATATAACATTTTACTGGCATACACATAACCAATGGGTAAACACTCCAGTAAACGTTATAGAGCTGAAACATTTCAGTGGCATTTCCCTGGCATTTCAACATTCCATGGGAAAATACATTTACATAATGATATGATAAATCTTTAACACAAAGCGAACAGTTATTAAAAATATGCAAACATACAACATTTTGGTTGCATTTCAAAACTGTTTTGTTTGGAATAAAAGTTTTTGCAGAATTTGCAAGTATAAGTCTTTATTAATTTGTGGCTTAAAAAGATTAATACTATCAAAAAATGGATCATGTCAGTAGAACCACCCATTTGTGTCTGTTTATATATAGTCCACATGTAGGAAAAGCTAGCACTGAAGTCATTTGAAACACCCTGGATCTAAATCTGTATATAACTTTAAGTGTTAGGTTAGTCAAAATGTAAAAAAACAGTTATCGGAAAGTTTTTGTTGTGTATCTTTATCGATATTGTAATGCAGTATGGTGAAGATAATGGTAGGTTGTAAGTTACTTGGATGTGATAGCCTAATGCATACAGAGTAGATATAGGTACTTTGTAAGGGACTAGGCACATCACCGGTTATCTCTTGGTGGCAGAAGCTGAGTCAGGCAAGATTGTGTATCTGTGGGCTTAGTTATGTAAACTACAGATCTGGAGGGTTGGGTACGTAGGGCTTGTGTAGTAAACCAGGGTAGGGTAGAGGCGCTATGTGTCAGGATGTAGCCTCCAGATAAGATATCCACATTGATATATACAGCATCCCTATTACATCCTTGTGCTGATAGCCAAACTTCCAAAATGAGTTCAGGATTTTTTTTATGTTTTGTGTTCATTGCTATTTTTATTACCCTTTCTTTTTTCTGCGAAATTTCTCCCAAGTGAAAATGAATCATTTACACAGTAATTACATTGGAGTTTAATGAGAATATGCAGATGTTTTCCCCCCCCCAGAACATAAAAAATGAAATATGTGCATAAGATGAGGCTGGAGGGATAGATAGCAGAGTCGGGGAGATTGGGAGGCTCCTGAAAACTGTGTAGATATACGTTGTGTGTCTACCAGATGGGTGATTGTATGCGTCTACTGCTGCACACTGATTGTACCCAGCTGTAGACGGGGTTGATTATATGTATTACAGGGTATTTAGGTCCAAGTTTGTTTGATAAGCTAATGAGACCAACATTTGAACATGTCAGGATTAGGAAGATATAGAATGAGTAGACTGTCTGGTATGTTGGTGCCCAGCTGGCAGCCATATGACCCGGATGACCACATTGCACCATTGTCTCCTCATGTCCTACCCTGTATAGGTCTGGTTCCTTTAACAGTCTGTAACCTAGTGCAAAGGTACAAAGGAATACATTATCATACAGGAATGTAAATAATAAATATTCTTTACAACCTTCTCAGATTCTGCTGTGTCTTAACTTAATAAAAGTTGGTTGATTTATGAATAAGTCTTTTATTATGAACAAAACGTTCTCATTCATTTAATCTGAGGTTTCACCCTATTTGAAAATGTCAAAATTTTCTTCAAATTTCTGCAGGTATATCTCCTTCTGACTACAACTGAAAGAGTAAATGTTTACTTAAGAAAAAGCCATACAAAAAGTTAAATAATGAGGAAGTGAATGCTGACTTTGGTATCAAGTATTATTAAGTAAACAATATAGAGTATTTTGTGTGTTACAGGTGGCTGGATTCCTCTAAATCTCTGATGGAGCAGGGCATCCGGGACAATGATTTTGTCCTCCTCAAATACAAGTTCTTTTCTTTTTATGACTTAAACCAAAAAGTAAGTACAAGAAAACTTCATAAGTATTTACACAAACCAACTCTTCTGCAACTTACAACCTCCAGCCAGCAACAGTCTCAGTGTTACAACACATTTTAAAGAATTATTAAATCTGGTCATGCTGATGGTTTTGTTGTATGACCAAAGAAGTAAAATTACAAGCAAGCTTTTACTGGTGAGTGTCTGGTCGGAGTAGGTCATTATGGAAAAAGTGATTGTTTGTCTTGGCCTTGGAGGTCTCAGGTGTACCATGTCGACACTAGGTCAGTTAAACATGAAAATCCAAAATCATCCTCAAGTGTTCTATAAAGGGAAACAGTAGCAGATGGATGTGTAGGTATAGCTGATAAGGTTGTTAGGGGTCACCGAAGGTCATCCCACAGCAGCCACTCACAGAGGTCAGTGAAGGTCAAACAGAAGCAGTGAATCATTTGCTTAGATCCAGGCTGATACTAATTTACTAAGGGTCATTTTGTATGAATGGACTGTAGTAGAAGGATAACTATCTACAAAACATGACTGACTCAAGATAAAATGTTTTACTACTGAAACATCTTCATTCATACCCAGTTGATGTCTAAAGACTGGTCGACTGACCTACATTTTGCAGGTGCTTCACCTGCTGTTTGAAGTATTGGGCCACATGTGATGTTACTTTGCTGCATCAGTGTGCCTGGGTGGTGATATGAATATTATCAAGATAAGTTTTATCAACTGGTTTACATTAGGCCTTGTATGTTATGAACAATTATCAGTCAGGATTGGTTTGAGGATGTTGGTCTTTTAGAACATTTTCCTTGATCAGGAAATCTTATTAACAGTTTTTGTCAAGGTCGCATCAGTGCTAGGTTCCAGTCAGTTTAATAATGATTTATCAAGAGTGGAGAAAATCAAATATATATTCAGGGCTGAAAGTATATATTAAGATAGTTACTTTTTGGGAAAATCAACACATAGCACAACTTGACAAGTTTTGTCATGGGTTGGTTGCAAGATGAAAATTCAAAGTGTGTTTCTTGTAGTTATCAACAATGAAACAACTTAGGACGAGTGAAGGGGTATTATAGGAACATCATACTACAGACCCTACATCGGTGAACACTAAGTACATACAACTAAATGTATATGTGACTTCTGGCTACTTGTGATTACAACAGACCTTACAAGAGGTTTGTCTTCATCCCAAATGCAGTGTACTCTCAGCAGTGTCAATACTCCTAAGCCAGTGGGCGAACAGCTGAAATTAATTTACAATCAAAATTTTCAAAAACATTTTAAAACATTTAGAAATGGTGGATAGGTCAGGACACCTCCTGTGAAAGGATGGCATGCTTGCTACAGTGTAGAACATTAACAAATGATTCCTTGTTGGATACGAGTACAATACAAATGGTTCTTTGTCACATACGAGTAAAAGAGTTGTACAAGTGGTTTCTGGTTAGACATCTAGTTAGTACCTCTGACAGGGGCTTTCTGGTTAGACATCTAGTTAGTACCTCTGACATGGGGTTTCTGGTTAGACATCTAGTTAGTACCTCTGACAGGTGGTTTCTGGTTACATATGGTACAAGAGACTATACAAGAGTTCCTGGTTACTTGTCAGTACAAAAAACAGTGAAAGAGTTTCCTGGCTAGTCATCCCAATACAAATGGTTCTTTGTCACATACGAGTAAAAGAGTTGTACAAGTGGTCTCTGGTTAGACATCTAGTTAGTACCTCTGACAGGAGGCTTCTGGTTAGACATCTAGTTAGTACCTCTGACAGGGGTTTCTGATTAGACATCTAGTTAGTACCTCTGACAGGTGGTTTCTGGTTATACATCTAGTTAGTACCTCTGACAGGTGGTTTCTGGTTAGATATGGTACAAGAGACTATACAAGAGTTCCTGGTTACTTGTCAGTACAAAAAACAGTGAAAGAGTTTCCTGGCTAGTCATCCAGTATACGAGTAAAAGAGTTGTACAAGTGGTTTCTGGTTAGACATCTAGTTAGTACCTCCGACAGGTGGTTTCTAGTTAGACATCTAGTTAGTACCTCTGACAGGTGGTTTCTGGTTACATATGGTACAAGAGACTATACAAGAGATACTGGTTACTTGTCAGTACAAAAAACAGTGAAAGAGTTTCCTGGCTAGTCATCCCAATACAAATGGTTCTTTGTCACATACGAGTAAAAGAGTTGTACAAGTGGTCTCTGGTTAGACATCTAGTTAGTACCTCTGACAGGGGTTTCTGATTAGACATCTAGTTAGTACCTCTGACAGGTGGTTTCTGGTTATACATCTAGTTAGTACCTCTGACAGGTGGTTTCTGGTTACATATGGTACAAGAGACTATACAAGAGATACTGGTTACTTGTCAGTACAAAAAACAGTGAAAGAGTTTCCTGGCTAGTCATCCCAATACAAATGGTTCTTTGTCACATACGAGTAAAAGAGTTGTACAAGTGGTCTCTGGTTAGACATCTAGTTAGTACCTCTGACAGGTGGTTTCTGGTTACATATGGTACAAGAGACTATACAAGAGTTCCTGGTTACTTGTCAGTACAAAAAACAGTGAAAGAGTTTCCTGGCTAGTCATCCAGTGGTAAACCCTCTGACAAGTGGTTCCTGGTATTCCTGTAATGTGCCTCCAAATATCTTTGAATGCACAACACATACAGTCAGGGTAAGGTATGTGTTACAATAGGTCCACGCTGGAATAATAAATACTTCCAATGCTTGAGGAAAGTGCCCCGCCTACTAGACCGTTTGATTTGTGTTCTGTCTAGCCTGTCTTACATTATACTCATCTTGTCTGCCAACAGTGAGAGGCAGAGCTAATGCAAACAATGTGTCAACTTTCTGAGTTTAACCCTGATGTGTTCAAATGTCTAGTTATAGCTTTTTGGCAATGTTACTGTATTTAATCGTGACTTTTGTACATACCTCAGCATTAAATCACAAGGAAAGCATTCAATATCCTAATCAAATTCATGTAGTTCAACTGCCAAAAACATTTATGTATAAAAAATAAAAAATAAAAGATTTACTAAGCTTTATGACCAAAAAATCAAGTAGACTTTATTATATATAAGTTTTTTGGTCATAAAGCATTGATTACTGTATAGTGAAATTGGCATCATTAGAAATACATGATATACTTCATCTGTACGTATCAAACTACCCCAATGATTTCCTGCCAATATTGTAACAAGCCAGAACCGATCCCCTAACCATGACTAGGTCCTACAGGCACCCTTCATTTGTCAGACACCAGTGGAAAGTTTTGACATGTGTAGGTAGAGTTTCTCTGGCTTACTGCCAATAGCTGCAGAAATTGACTGAGAGCAAATGAGACTCGGAGTTTATAGCTTGTGGAGACAGCTATATACGTAATTACACTACAATGGTGCAAGTACTTGATGTCCGATCCCAGCCGTCCCCCTCTGCAATCTCGAGTGTGAAGGCTTGAGATTTACACAAATCACACACACACACAAAGATTCATGTCTTCCTTGATTGTATTATATTTACATATGCACATGGATGACGTTCATTACAATGTTTACATCAGAATAGAACGACGGCTCGCATGTTAATGTCAAGAGAGGACAGTGCTGTATTGTTAATGTCATGGAGGACATTTGTTACAATGTTAAAGAAAGACCAAGCAATTGTCTAATGTTAAATGTCAATGTCAGAGGAGAGACCATTTCCTATAATGTCAATAACGACATTTACTATGATGTTGATGTTAGGGGAACGACATCGCCACATGTAATATCAGAAGACATCATTGTCTGATGTTTAATATCAGTATGTTGATGGACAAGGAGGCTATATAATGTCTCAAACATTTCAATGTCAAGATAGGACAGTCACTATAATGGTGATGTTTAGGGAGGACAGTTGCTATAATGTTGATGTTTAGGGAGGACATCAACTATAATGTTGATGATTAGGGGGGAGGACATAAGATATAATGTTGATGTTTAGGTGGGACATCAGCTATAAGGTTGATGTTTAGGGGGGAGGACATCAGCTATAATGTTGATGATTAGGGGGGGGGACATCAGCTATAATGTTGATGATTAGGGGGGAGGACATCAGCTATAATGTTGATGATTAGGGGGGAGGACATAAGATATAATGTTGATGTTTAGGTGGGACATCAGCTATAAGGTTGATGTTTAGGGGGGAGGACATCAGCTATAATGTTGATGACTAGGGGGGAGGACATCAGCTATAATGTTGATGATTAGGGGGGAGGACATCAGCTATAATGTTGATGTTTAGGTGGGACATCAGCTATAATGTTGATGTTTAGGGGGGAGGACATCAGCTATAATGTTGATGTTTAGGGAGGGGGACATCAGCTATAATGTTGATGTTTAGGGGGGGAACAACAGCTATAATGCTGATGTCAAGAGAGGACATTGATTATAATATATCAATGAAAGAAAATAGTGGCTTTAAGGATAAAATGCATGATTTTCTTCAAGGAAGTGACATATATATAATTGGCTAATGAACATGGATTTCAGTGACTATGGTACATGACTATCAAAGTAATGCATTGGCTAATGTCCACATTCAGGTGATCAGTGAATTTAACTAACCTGTTATAAAAGCATGCAGTCTATTACAGATGCATGCAATCCTATGCCAAAGTACAAGTTAACATAACAGGCATGTGTGATAATGCCAAGGTACATTACAGTGTTGTGATACCACGGTACGCTGTAACTATAACAGGTCAAGTTATGATGCCTAAGTAAAACATAACAGGTTGTTATATGATGCCAAAGTAAAACATAACAGGTTGTTCTATGATGCCTAAGTAAAACATAACAGGTTGTTATATGATGCCTAAGTGCACCCTCGTATAACAGACAGTGTGCTGAATTCAAGTGTGTTAAATATATAACCATGTTATGAATTCAAGGTATGCTTTGAATATAACAGTGTTATGATGCTAAGGTATACCCTGATGTTACTAGGAATTTTAATTCTGTGTTAT